CCGGGGGCGGTTCTGGCGAGACCCAGCAGCCGGGAGCAAAGCGCACAGCCGGGTGGGTGAGGGGCGGCGGCGGCCTGGGAGCCGGGGAAGTTTGGGCCACCGCTGGCAGTGCTGCGAAACGGAGGCAGGCTCAAGCCCGTGGACCAGGGGGCAGGAGGACCGGCTTACGGACGCCCTCGGGACCGCTGCCACCGTCTCGCGTCCTCTTGCCTGGTAAGGGGCTTCCTTCTGGGAAGGGTGCGTCTCCCGCCGCCCCAGACTGGGCCTGCACCACGCAGCCGCAGCAAACCCCGTCAGGGCCAAGGAGAGGCCGGGGTACCGAAGGGAGGGAGAAGGAGGTCGATGTGCTCTAGGGAGAGGAAGAGAGAAAAGCCCGGAGGAGGTTGGACTTCTCCATTTCCCCTTCGCACTCCTTTCCCCCTACCCTTCCATTCTTTTTTCACCCTTCTGCCCTGGGGCCTTATTTAGTACTTGCAGCCCCGTAGCCTATAGGCTGGACTCGCCTTTAAAATAAGCACACCAATAATAAACATCCTAGCGGTGGGTACCACACCCTGGCTTTGAATTAGGGAGCCTGGGGCACAGATGGATGATGCGATTTAGTGGAAATAAGCCATTAATGCCGGCTGGCCCTGCGCCACTGTTTGGATGTGATAGTATTCCATGTGAATGAACACGACCCGGAGCTTCCAGGTTGTCCACGAGAGCATAGCTACTGCAGAGAGCACTGGTCGGTTTGTAGTATCATCCACTTAGGCAATGATTCTCTGACATTGTCTGTTGATTAAATAGAAATGCCATTTTTATTAAAACTGACATTCAGTGGTTGAACAACATTTCATTAATATATTTCCTCTTCACATAATTTTCTCCTTCAAAAGTAGGTGGAATGCAAATTATGCATACATTTAAAAAATCTCATGAAATAGAAGAAGATGCTCAGCGTGGATCAGCTTCTGAGTCAGCAGTATGAAATCTCCCTCAACTTAGTACTAAGGCCTTTGGGGGATTTCTACACTGTATCTATACCCCTGGCCTTATCTGGATCTGTACCATATATATAACGTTAAGACACAGCAAGCTATTCGATGAGAGTCTCAGCTTATGTTGTACATGTTTTGAGAAAAACTTTGCTTGTGCAAGTTTAACATAACCTAATATTACTGGGTATAAATGAACATATGTCATACATTTCCATATGGATACTTCTCTAGAACTCTTTAAAAAGAGGAAGGAGTGAAAGTAATACAGGTTTTTGTTCTTGCTTTTTTTTTTTTTTTTTTTTTGGTTGGAGAAGGTAATTAGGTTTACTTATTTTATTCTTGGAGGAAGTACTGGGAATTGAATCCAGGACCTCCTGAATGCTAAGCATGCACTCTACCACTTGAGCTATACCCTCCCCCCTTGCTTTTCACTTTTAATGTAGCTTATGATCCTTGTTATTTATAATCTTCACTGATTCTTTAAAATTACTCAGTTCAGTGTTTTCCTTTTTCTTATTGAGGAATAGTGTTTACGCTTTTAAAATGTCATCCATCAAGCACCTGGTTTATGCAGTTATTCGTTTCTTACGGGAACAAAGTCAGATGGATGCTTATACTTCAGATGAACAAGAAAGTTTGGAAGGTAGGCCCTGTTCTCTGTTCACTTGTGTTATAAGTATAAATAAAGACTAAATTAGTTATAACACTGACTCTGTGATCTGTAATGTCAAAATCAGAATATTTTGTTGATTTTTTTCAAGGAGAGAGACCTAACGATAAGGTTATGATGTTTTTATTCTCTGAGGCTTGTTTTGTTTGTTTCAATTAACAACAAGAGGACTGTTATTTATTTATTGAACAACTGTTATGTGTCAGAACTATGCTATTCAGATTAGATGGAATTTTTTCTCCACAGTGACTGTTAGTACTTAATAGATCCCCACTTAACAGATAAGTAAGTGAAACTAGATAGATTAAGTAACGTAACACAGCTAATATGTGGCAAAGCTGAGATTTAGATCCTGGTTCTTACTCTGAAGGTCTTGTTGTCTCTTTCTGATAGGAAAACATCCAGTTTAGAATCAATATGGAAAAACACTTTAGTCATCATACAAGCACTATGTAAAAGTCTAATAATTATATCATTATTAAGCTCTGATGACTTACTATTGGGGAAGAGAAGATTTCACTCTTGTTTCATGTGGGCTTTAAATATTCGATTCGATAATCTGTAAAGTTGAGCAGGATTTGGGTGACAGCATCACGTTTCCTTGACACCATTGTTTCCGCTTCATGTTTATGCATTAGAAAATTTAAATTCAGCTGAACCATAACAAGAGAGAATTCTGCAGATGGGCTTGTGGATGTTCGATTAGCCCAGCTTCCTTGTGGCCTAAAGACTTAATTATTACAATGAGACAGTGCATTTGGGAGAATTTAATAAATAACAGTACTATTTGAATTTCCCATCTTGGGGACATGTCTATCAATTTCAACAAGGAGTTCCCTTGTGAATATGCTTTTAGGAAGTGGAGATGAAAATTGGGCATTTGCTCTAAATCTGCTTGCAATCTGGTGAGATGATATCTTTCCAGGTGGCAGTGAGAGGAGCAGGTGACACACAGTTGGAGAACATTGCAATCAGTCCATTTAATCAGTCCTTTTGTCCTCCTTGATGGTTAGACTGTGTGAAGACAAAGGTGATTGGTTATCTAAAGAAACTGTGTATGGTTGCTCGGTAGCAAACAGATCAATGAAATCATTTAATAAAAGATGTTTCCTTTGTAATTAAAGGCATAAAATACTTTCAAGGGCCAGAAAGAAAAATGAGAGTTTTTAAAAAACCAAGATGTTATGTCCTATTTTTAGGATGGTATTCAGCCAAAAATGTGTGCCTTCAGCTGTGTGTTATATATGGCAGTCAGAAATGGTGCCAGTTGTTTTTGACCGACCCCTATTTTTGACTCTGTGAGTCTAATTTAATTGAATATGAAATCATGTGAAAATGTCTGCCCACCTTCTAGACATTTAAAAAAGTCCTGGGAGAGGAGCCTGAGTTTTAATACCAGCTTTGCCACTATGGTGAAGCTGGTATATTATCAGCTTTGAGCCTTATCATCAGACTATGTCTGTCCTAACTGTTGTCATCTACTGACATCTGCTTCATGTTTTGACTGCTGTGGCTCCTGTTCACTGTCTCTCTAGCACTACTCCTATTGTAATTGTTGGCAATCGCAGTACACTCATACATGATTCTTCCCGTTCTCTCAGCACTCAGTTCCTTAACTTTCTCTCCTCTAGTAATCTCAACCATTTACTTGCTTTGTCATACCCTGGACCAGTGGTTCTCAGTGAGGGGCAATTTTGCAATATCTGGACATATTTTTGACTGTTACGATTGGAGGGCTGGTATTACTAACATCTAGTTGTTAGAGGCCGTGGATACTGCTGACGATACTACAATGCGCAAGTTGGCCCCCAACAACAACAAATGGTCTACTACAATATGCCAGTAGTTGCTGTGATTGAGAAACTCTTCCCTAGATCTTGTCACTATCCTCCATAATCTCTGTCTTAAACATTTCACTTCCTGACCACTACTGCCTGCCTGTCCAGCCCACTTCCTCTAGAATCCCTACCCCAACAATTCTTTGACCCTACCAATACCTCCGAGCTGTTGATCCCTTACCATTTCACACCCCTCTTCCTACCCAGCTTAAATTCCATGGTTGATCATTAAAATCATGACCTTGTATATCTCTCCCTTTCTTGCAGAACCCAACCTTGTTTAAATCTAGCTCTCCACCTACTCTGTACCCATATCCACATGATTATGTATAGATGAAGCAAAGCACACCACTTTGCTAACTAGCCCTAGTTTGAATTTATGACCATGAGCCTCAGGTGGACCTTTAATGCTACCCTCTGTTCCAAGTTCATAGTTTTGCTTTCCTAGATGACCATTTTAACAGTTTCTTTTGTCTTCTAAAAACCCCAAACGTCCTCCCTTGTACTCACTTTTAGTTGATGACCTTGCTTCTTCACCAGAAAAACTGAATTAATAAGAAAACAACTTCCACAGACTCCCCCTGCCCCATCTGCCCACTCACCAGCATCTATGCTCACATATTCTGCCTGCCTGCCTAGCTATTACCATGTACTATGGACTAAATATTTGTGTCCTCCCAAAATTCATATGTTGAAACCTATTGCTCAGTGTGATGGTATTAGGAGGTGAGGTCCTCACGATTGGGATTAGTCCCCTTGTAAAAGAGACCCCAGAGAGCTCCCTTTTTTGTACTGGGTGAGGACACATCAAGAAGGTGTCATCTGTGAACCAGAAAGCAGATCCTCACCAGCCATCAAATCTGCCAGCACCTTGATCTTGAACTTCCCAGCCTCCAGAACTATGAGAAGTAAATTTCTATTGTTTATAAGCCACCCAGTCTATGGTATTCTGTCATAGCAGCCCAGACTGACTAAGACACCGTAGATAATATACATTGTCCTTTCTAAATGGTACCCTCTGCTAGCCGACTGGATCCCACCCTGTCTCACCTACTCCAGGCTCTCACTCTAATTATTTACCTTCCTTGTCTTACATCAGTAATTTTTCAACTTCTGCTAGCTCATTTCCATCGGAATATAAACTTTCCATTATTGCTCCCTTCTTAAAACCATCAAAAACAGCCATTGATTACTCTTGGCACACTACCACCCCTTCTCCTCCCCAGACATTGCCTACCTTTTTGATCTCCCTTTTGATGGGAAACTCTTTGAAAGAGTTTATACTTGCTTCTGCACTCTCTCTCCTTCTATTCATTCTTAAACCCACTCCAGATAGGCCTTTACCTCCATCTCTCCACTATACTGTTCTCATCAAGGTCATCAGTGATTTCTGTGTTATGTAGTTCAATGGCCCGTTTTCAGTCTTCATTTCGCTTACTAGTTGCCATTGATAAAGTTGACGATCAGTCCCTCATCCCCATCCACCTGTATACTTTATTCACTTGGCTTCCAGGATACTTCATACTCTCTTGGATTTCTTCTTATCTCATTGTTTTCACCTTCTCCGTCTCCTTTGCCGATCCCTCTTCTTTTCCCTGACCTGGAGTACCTAGCATCTAGTGCTTGATCTTCTTTTCATTATCTACACTCACTTTTTTGGTGATATAGTTCAGCTTCTTGGCATTAAATATTTTCTGTTTATATGCTGTTATCTGTCAAGTGTGTACCCTCAGCCCTTTCTTCTGAACTCCAGACTCCTATATCCAACTGCTTACTAGCTACCACCACCTGTATATGTAACAAGCATCTCAAGTTGAACATTTCCAAAACTGGACTCCTGATCCTCCCAGCAAAATCTGTCCTATTCCATGACTTCCCTAACTCAGTTGATGACTTTCCTAACTCCATCTTTTCAGGTGCTCAGGCCAAAAGTTTTGTTACCATTCTGGACTCGTCTCTTCTTAGACTCTGCATCTAATTGTTTAGTCAGTCCTGTTGGCTGTACCTTCAAAATATATCTTGGCTCTTACCCACCTCCACTGAGCTCACCCCTGGATAGAATTAAGTATTTCTCATCTGTTTTACTGTGATAGCCTCTGATTGGTCTCTCTGCTTTGATATTTGCTGCTTCATTGAGTATTCTCAACACAGCTACTGGTGACCTTTTAAAACAGAGTATGTCAGATTCCATCATTTTTCCACCCAAAATCTTGCACAGACTCTTCATGTTACTACATTGTTTAAGGAATCTGTATAATTTGGACTTCTGTGATGTGTTGTTTACAGACTCCTCTTTCTCATTTGGCTTTAGTCAGATTAGCTTCCTCACTCTAAATGCACCAAAAACTCTTTCCTAAGGGCTTTTGCTGTTTTCTCTACCCCCATCTCCTTCCAGTACCTGCCAAACCTCTTTTCTGAATGAGGATCCATTAAATCTGCAGCCTGCTTCCCTGCTCTGCTCCCCACACTCTCATCCTCTTTGCACTGTTCTCTGCTCTTTGCCTTTTGTAGTTTACTGGCTACAGTCTACCTCTCCATCCCCCACTAGAATGGCAGCCCCAAGAAGCCAGGGATCTTTTCTGTTTTATTCACTGGTATACACAAAGCATCTAGAAAACTGCCTGACACACGGTAGGTGCTAAGTAAATATTTGTGGAATTGAATTGATGAGTCGAGTCAAGTGATCTTGAGCATCTCACTTAGTTGGTCTGTATCTTTATTTCCAAGTCTATCAGGTGGAGCTCTCTGCCCCCCTCCTGCTAATAGATTTGTCAAGAGAATCAAAATCAGTGATAGCAGGTATATAGTATATGGGAGCTTTGGTATAAAGTGCTATGCAGATGGGATATGGTGGTATTGACTAGAATTCTTCACTTGTCTTTCTCTTCATTGGTACCAAACAAACTATTATTGTCTGGTGTTAAAGTGGAACAGAATTGTATACAGAATTTGCTTAGATTTTTATGACTTATTCCTGAGTAGAACCTCTGAAAGGAGGATCACATGTAATAATCCCCATTTCGTAAGTGAGAATCTTGAGGTAAAAGCAAGATAAATTATAATACCGAGGTTATTTGTTTTTTTTCTCTCGATTAATAATGATAATGAGATAGTCCTGAGTTCCAAGGCTGTGGTGGTTTTTTCAGTAAACCATATGTCTCTCTAAATATGTGTTAATGTTGAACACTAAACAGTTTGGCAGCAAGTTCACTTACCAAAACAATGGTGTTTACTTAATGAGGAATCTAAAATAGTCAAATGCATAGAAGCAGAGAGTAGAATGGTTGTTGATACAGGCGAGGGTAGGAGGAAATGGGAGATAATGGTCAAAGGGTTCAAAGTTTCAGTAATGTAAAATAAATAAGTTCTAGAGCCCTACTATACAGCGTAGTGTGCTATAGCTAACTGGATTGTATACTTAAACTCTGATAATGGGGTAGATTTTACGTCAGGTATTCTTAACACACACACACCACCACACACACACACAGCATTAGAGGGGACAAGAGGAAGTGTTGGGAGCTGATGGGTATGTCTGTGTCCATGGCCTTGATGGTAGTGACGGTTTCATGGATGTGTGTGTATCTGCAAGCTCATCGAGTTGTGTCCATTAAATATGTACAGATTCTTTCATGTCATCATACTTCAGTAAAGTGGTTTAAAAACAATTGTGTTTAAAACAAAACAAAACAAAAAGCAGTTACCTCCTTTAGTGATACTTGATTGTGTCTAGAATGTGCCAGATCTGTGTTTTCAGGTTAGTGGCAGCAGAGATAAAGGAGCTGGACTGGATTACTCTGACAAAATAGCACGCAAAAATCCCCCCGAGTCCCCCCAAGGACTTTTCACCTGTCAGCGTGTAGCTCTGAAGTTTCATACTCTGGTTCTGGTTAAAGCTTTGGTGGGGTTCCATCCATCTTTAACAAGGCTATTAATTAATAATTTTATTAATTAATTAATAAAAAATTAATCTTTTCCACAGATTTTATCACTTTTATTTCCTCAGAAATTAAACCATTACTTCCACTGTAAACAAAGAAGTAGGATGTACTGAGCATCTACTATTTGTCAGATTCTATTAAAGTCAAAGATGAAAAAGAAGTCAGTCTTATCCTCAAGGAGACAGTCTAATATGAGAGACAGACATTTAAGTGCATATAATATAATGTGTATGATATGTACAAAAATAGAAACATGAAATGACGGATCTGATCAGGGAGGAAAGATGCTGATACAGAATAAATAGATACGTATACATACATACATACATACATACACACATACATACATACATACATACATTAATTGTTTTTAATCAATTGTCTTCATGGCCACAAGAAAATAGGATGAGAGCCTATTTTCTTGTGGCCCAGTGTTTTTAGTGTAAGTACAAGAACACCTGCTTGGTGTAGGGATAGAAAGGGAGAGAATGAAGGATGGGTAAACAGTGGATTATTTTCTATCGAAAAGACACTTTTGACTTTTGGTAGTTGCTAACTTAGTTGCTTATTCAGTGTCTTTTCTAAGGAACATTTTTCTGTGAATAGTGAAAGTAATAATATTTCTTTTTATTTTCTCAGAACAACAGTGAATGCATAATATATCTTTTAAAAGTCATACACAAATGTACCTGAATCTGTAAGTAACAGATAGACAAATACCCTATGATCTCTCTTATATGTAGACTCTAAAAAATAAATACATAAGTAATCATAAAACCAAGCTCATAGATACAAACAACAGATTGGTGGTTGCCAGAAGCAGGGGGTGAGAGATGGGAGAAATGGGTAAACTGTTTTTGGTTTTGTTTTAAGTAAACCGAATTTTTTAAAAAAGTCATATACAAATGTAAGTGAATCTATTCCACACTGTCTGGAAGTACACTGGATATTTTGGCTACATTCTCATCTTGTTGAGCCAGGAGAGAATTCCTTTTCAAAGGAGAGCATTCCCAGGATAAGAATCTACCTCTCTTTCCCTCACTGAATACTTGCAGAAAGGATGGGATGTGCTTTATTCACTGCTCCTGCCCTAGTTTAGGCTCCTTGTCTGTTTAGGTCATTGAAGTAGGAACCCACTTGGTTTTTTGCTTCCATTTTCTTCTTCAGCTTCCCTCTGTAATCCATTCTCAACATTCTTAACGAGACTTGTAGATCTAAAGACAAATCCAGTTATGTTCTTCTTCATGAAAATCTTTAATGGCCCTCCATTGGCCCAGAGCATGAAGTCCACATCCTTTAAAAATCATATTCAAGGTGCCTTATCATCCAGTGAGGCACGTCTTTCTACCTGGTCTGTACCCAAGCCATACTGGTTATCTTGTCCTACACCAAACGTAGATGAGGCATGTGTCACCACCTAACATGCCATGGATTTTACTTACTGTGTTTGTCTGTCTCCTATGAAGTGTAAGTTTTATCATGTGGATCCTGATTTTTGTGTTAGGTTAACTGTTGTATCTCTACCACCTTAGAACAGCATCTTGTACACAGTAGGTACTTGATAAATTTGCATGCATGAAGGAATTTTTAAAAGCCAACCTATTGTCACATAATTAAGTACACCAGGATTAATATTTAGTGCTTCCTGTGTGCCAAGATTGTTTCTCTTACTATTCTTAATCAGGTTGAGAATTCTACTTCCCACCTTAGAAAAAGATAATTGTAAAAATTTTAATTCAAGACGTTAGGACATTGGTGGTTAATCAGATATTGGTAATGGGGAATGTGGTGTTAATGAGTTCCTTTAACAAGAATATGATGTAATCCATAAATTGAGAAGTTGTATTTTAGGTAACGTTTTTCTTTAAGTGAGGAATAAGAAACCAAGCTCTCTTCCCTCAATAGCTGGTCTATAAACAGAAATCTCTGCAGCTGAACCGTTTAGTTTTCCTTATGTTCTGTGATCATAAATGCTGAATTACCACAGATTGCACAGTACAGAGTTCTACCAGGAAAAAAAAAGGTTGTTTCTTTTTTAGGTTGCTAATGTTTTTTTCACTATTAAAATTTATTTCAAGTTGCGATCCAGTGCTTGGAGACAGTTTTTAAAATCAGCTCAGAAGATACACATCTAGCAGTTTCACAGCCTTTGACAGAAATGTTCACAAATTCCTTCTGTAAGGTAAGCTGTCATTGTTCTCTCATTTATCATCTGATTATCTAAGTAAAACTGCAGTATTATGTTGGATTGTTAGTATTTGAGGGACCAGGCCTATAAGTAACTAACTTCTTCTTGGGTATAAGATAGTTTGCCCACATGGATATTATTTGGAACCTAAAATATAACTTCTAATATGCTTTAAATTTTCATATTAGTAACTCTTCTCATCCTTTCACCCTCTTATATTTAGTATGTCTTAGTTGACTTTTTAAGTTCTTTATATTATCTGGGTGTTTTTAGGTTTCTTAGATCTGAATTAATATTCCCCTAAAACATGACATAGAAAACAGAAGTTTTAATGTTTAGGAGAAAACCATATAGAAAAAGATTCATCAGGATTTGAGTCATCAGTTAGAAACAGATTTTATCAAGTTTGGCCACTGATGGGGATCTTTAAAACATGGAAAGGTTCAGGGTCAATGTGCAAAATCAAGACTGAAACCCAAGTGTTCTGATCCCTGTTGCTGACCACTGCCTACATGATCTCTGGTTTCTGGCCTTTTCAGGAAATATGGACTGTAAGACTGAAAAATTTTAAGGCTAGTGAGTTTAGGGCCTCAGGGGGACCTCCCATGTGGGTTTTCATTACATTTCGGTGCCACATGAACTTCTTTGATTATTCTAGCTCTGTATTCATGCTTCAGTACAGAATGAGGAGCTCAGGAGAGGAGCTGCAACAGGCAGGGTGTCCTTCAGCCTGGCAGGGACATTGCCGAGAGTGCTGCCATGACTGTTTCTAGAACTCGTTGGGAAGAGGTTCTTAGAGTTGCAACGGAGATGGTAATTTGGCAGTAAACTGCTTGCTCCCTCTTTTCATACTGGGAAAAAAGATAATGCAGTTGTACGTGAACTCATCGAATAGACAGATGAAGTGTATGTTTGCGACAAGATGTAAGGAGACAGTGGCATGTCTCTGTGTTCCTTATCAGGGAATCCCTTTTTCTTCTCTTTGGTTTCTGTGGTTATTTCATTGTCCCAGCTTGTGGCCTCCTTAGGGAGTCCTATTTCAGGGGACTCATGGTCTGGCTATGGCCAAAGCTGACCTTCTTTACTCCTTGATGCCCGAGACACCTGTGCTTGGGACAGCACTTGGATTTGCTCACTATGTCTCCTGTCACCACTGACCTAGTACTGCAGAGAGTGTCACTTTTTTTTTCCTCCCCACAAAGCTCAGATTGACTTATTGACTGTTATACTCAGTTTGAATAGAGCTCCTTTATTTTTCGGTTATTTCTCTCTGATTGTATTTAATTGTATCTAAAATATAGTTTCTTAAGACTGGCTCCGTAGTATATCTACCTAGTTGTATTTGTGGTGTCAATCCTTCAATAGTCCTTAACAGCTATGGCTTCGTGACATATGTTTGTTAGCAGATTATGGCGGAGAAAGTCTAAAACTTGGTTGAAGCAGTATCACAACTGTTACAACTAAAGAAGTTATTGACTTACCAGTTGTATTGGGCTGTTATATTGGGCAGTTTATTTCTGGGATACTGTTTTTTCTGCCCCCACCCCCCCAATTAAGTTTATATGCTAAATGGATTCCTTCCTTTTATATAAAGTGGCAAACACTTCTCCTCACGTCATGGGCTGCTCAAAAAGGTGTTCAGTGAGTATGAGAATTAAATTTCAAAGTTGTAAAACTGTGGCAATTTCATTAAAATAATTCAGAAGGATGTAGAAGACAGAATGAATTATAATTCATTTTTCAATATGCCATTTTTCTGACCTCCAAAAGTCACTTTTTTCATGCATAAGCTGTCTAGGCTTGTTAAAAGATTTGAAATAGATGGAACCCTGGAAGCGAGTACTGCAGGGCAGTAATGTGTCTTTGAACTACACTTACATCCTGAGTGACAACACAGTCACTTTTAAGTAGTGACCTCTGCTTATTAAGGTTCTCATTTTTATTCTATACCGTTTAGTCTAATACTTTATGGTTGATAAAGACTTTTTTAAAGTAAGAACAACTCATATACTTTATCAGTGAGCTTGTACTTGTGAATATTTATGTGTAACTAGCACAGTGTATTTCCAGCGTTAGCGCTATCAAGTTTATTGAAATTTTACTCAAGACAAAGATAATGGTGGATATATTTTAAATATGGTACATAGGTATATTGGTTACAAATCATGCTTTCTTGAAAATTATAAACATTTCATGAACTTTAAAGTCAAGTTTAAGAACAATGCCATTTTAAAAAGAATCTTTCAAATTGGAAAAATACATTGTGTTCTCAGTGCCACTCAAGACATTTCTAAATTTTTATTTAGCTTTCCTAGATACCTTTAGTTTGAACCTTATTATTGCAAAACAGGTTTGAGGATGATAGTAGGTGTTAAGAACAGGAGTGTTATACATTTTTTTTTGTCTTATGGGGAAATAAATATATGTCCATCATTTAAAATAATTTGGACAATATGGAATGAGAGAAAGAAGAGACTGAAAATCCTACTTCCAAATATTTCTACTGTTAACCTTTTTTGTATACGTTTCCCATCTTTGATTTTCAGCCTGTGTGCATGTGTATGTATGTGTGCACATATTTACATAATAGGATCATATTATAAATGCTTTTTTTGGTACCTGTGAATTTGACTTAGTAGACTATCTCTTAGGATATTAACACTATGTTTGGAAATGATCACTAATATAAACAATCCCTTGAACATGTTTCTATTACCATTCTTTATGTACTGATTCCATTTTTTACTTATGAAGTAAGATTTCTTGGTATGGGGAAAGCAAATAAAAAAGGTTTTGATTCACAGTTGCCCATTTTTTTCTAGAAAATTTCCACATAGTCACTCTTCTAATAAAAGTAGATGAGAGGACTTCCCCCCTTTTTCTTGCTAACATTATTATTTAGATACTTGATTTCATGGCATGGAATTACGGGTGATTTGCTATAGTGATGGGTAAGTCATGATTACTTAATGTTCTCTGGGATGACTCTTTATGTATCTAAATGGAAGTACATTGTATTCTATTTAATTTCAGAATGACATTCTGCCCCTTTCAAACTCAGTGCCTGAAGATGTGGGAAAAGCTGACCAATTAAAAGATGAAGGTGAATATTTCATGGAAAAATTACTTATTTAGTAAAACTTACTGTAACTCTGGAGAAAGTGACTCTGTCAACTGGTAAGATTCTGGTTTACACTGCCAAGACTGGATTGTCATAAGTCCACGTGGCATTTGTGAAACAGAAATGAATGTGATAAGGAAGAAGCCTGGAAATATAGAAATGGCTTGGGGACAGTATAGGTATGGCTTGCTTCAAGAGGAGCAGATCTGTTGTGAGTAAAACTAATGAAACGGGTAACTGAAAAGGTGATTGTGTTTGCTGTGTGTACTCTAGGATCCTAGATTCTTTATGTTTAATTAAAGACATGAAAATGATTTTCAGTATTATTTTAACTTTCGTGTATTTAGTGTTTTTGAGTTTTTTGAAATTTGTTAATGTATGTGTATGGCCCTTGACTTAAGTGTTTATTAGCCAGCACGTTTGATGACTATGTTATTAAATTTTCTAACAGTGGTTATTGAAGCCTACTTGGTTTTAATAAATGAGACCATTGAGGATCTGTATTCAGGTTTTCCATCGTGTCAGTTATGTTAAGCTATAGAGGCAAGCCAGGTCAGGCCTACGAGATTTGTACTAAGAAACTGTAGGCAGAGTCCTGATCGTTAGCAGTGAATGAGAACCGACAAATACCCTGTCCTATAGGCAGAGAGTTACTAGGGAATATGCGATATTCAGAAGCTATACAAAAATGGTTCACAACCATTTTCTAGCCTTTTCTTTAGTGCATACCTTGAAGAAAGCAGTTGAGTTAAAAAAAATCATTTGTTGTCCAAAACGGTAGATATCGAAAGAGTATACTTTTCCTATTCCTTGAGGCTGGTCCTCTCTATTAGGCCTATAAATGTTCACTGTATCACTACTTTTAATGGCTGTGTAGTGTTGCACAGTACTGAGACCATGATTTTCTTACCCAGACAAATAATGTTGTAATTCTAAGTAACATTGTCTTAATGTCTTTGTCATTATTTATTTTCACTCTGGGGTGATTATCTTCTTTGGGTTACATTAGAAGGTGCTGTGTTTCCAACAGACAGACTGGCTTCAGTTTTCAATTGTTTATTTCCTCTAAGAAATGATACCACTACAATGACTTAAAATTTTACAATTATGACTTTCATAAATTACATGCAAAGTAAAGTAACAACCAGATCCTCATTGTCATTTGAGTTATAGTATTCCCTGAAGAATTTGGATTTAAACTATCCAGAGACAAATGCATTTTTCATATAGTAGTTCGTAGTGGAAACAATTGAATTGATTTTTCTTCCTTCCACTCAGATTTCTGCAGTGGTGAAATCCTCAGTGATGCGTCAGATGCTCCACTACCATTTCACTTTTGCAGCTGTCTTGCTTTAGCTCTGATCCTAAACGGCAAATTGAAATTTTCTTTTTGCCTTTCATGTTTACTCCCACTGCATGGCAGAACACTGGGAGACTGCATTCCCTGTAGAGTTTGTTTTGATGAAATGAACGTCAGTAAATCTAGGATTGGAAGGTGCAGAATGAGACTCCTTTACTGTGGCAGCATGAGTAGACTGAATTCCTTACTGCTTTTGCCTTTAACCAAAAGCTCGTATTCTTTGTTTTCACCAAGACATGTCACATGTAAGACATGCTACACATAAAGTTAAAGTAGTTGACATTTAAACAGGTGTGCTGTTCATGTGAAAACGGATGGCCGGGTAGACTCTCAAGCACAGGATTAGTCCAGGCTGCGTGTTATACTTACCTGTGTCAATTAAGGCTTCCAGCCAGCTAGTACTTTCTGGTACACACAATATTTTTGTGTGCTTTGCTTCTGAAGTGCTGCAATAAGATCAGACAAAACCAAGAAGGATTCATTGCTGTCATTCCCTGACATGTCACAGAAATGCAGGCATGTCTCATAGGGTTATCTTGCTAATTAAAGGAGACAGGTGAGTACTGTGTATAACTGTAAAGTGCTCTGCACTGCTTAGTTATATTTATCTTCACAAATATCTGTGTCCGGAGCTTTTGTATATTGAATATTTTGTCACTTGAAGCTTTTTATCATGAATATGTATCAATATGCATATGTATATATACATACTATATATATTATAGTATCTATACATTTGATGTGGTTTACAGGAAAAGACATACAACAGATTTTACTCCTCCTCATCCTCCTGAGATGCCATCCCAAGATAAAAAGACTCAACAGCAACAAGAGAATAACCCCCAAAATTTAAATTTTTTACAAGGAAGAAGCAAATCTATTTAAGTACCGAGGCTAATGTAATTTCTTGCTCAAGTCATAAAAATTATGTAATCCTTTTAGCTTCCTTAGAGGCGTTATATCTGTTTCTTTTTGGAGGTGGGGATCTAAATTATTGTTTTAACTTTTAAAAAACGGCTTCATTGAGCTGTAATTGACATACCATGTGATTTACTCCTTTGACATGTACGAATTAATTGCTTTCTAGTATATTCACAGAGTTATGTAGCCATCACCACAAGTACAGAACATTTTTTATCATTCCTGAAAGAAATCGGGTAGAAATTGCTTTTTATTTTCATTTAGCAAGCACTCTTTATACTCACTTCTGCATCCTAATTTGCAGTAACTTTCGTATAATGTTAAATGCTTTCACCTACCTGTCTTTCCTTTAACCTTCCTATTCCTGTTCTCTGCAAATTTACACTCTTCTTCTCTCATTAAGTAGCTAATGATCTATTAAAAAAACAAGGCTAATAGGAGAGCTTCTGGTTTAGAGAAAGCTGGAAGGAATGATAGAGGCTTTTGTGATATAAATCCTTCCTCCTAATTCCAGTGTTTTAAAAATTTCAATTTTGACCATTGGTTCTTAGAAGCAAGCATGACACTTTTTTCTGTTTAATGGAATAGAAATGATAACTACAGGAAATCACTTATCTTGCTGACCAGTTGTTAACGTAGCTGAATATTGCCAGATGTATCTGCAGATGCCCTTCCTGAAGATCAGTACCCTGTGGGCTAGCTGTGGTTATCTGAAATTCTTTCTAGAAATTAATCTCCAATAATCCCCCTTTAAAAAGAATCTGTCTCCAGAAGGGATAGCACATAAATATATTATCTGCTGGTAACATATTAACATGATTAGCTTTACTGGCTTAACCACACAGCATGTCCTGAGGGCTTGGTTGTCAGCAGGTATACATTTTGACAGGGAGGACCAGGTCCAGACTGAGATGGTGATTGAGGGGGGTGTTCCATTTGGAACAGGATGGGGCAGCTCTAAAAGGAAAGAGAGATGCAGATAAGGAAGGTAAGAAGAGATTAGATTTTGCTATGAGATCATCATCATTGTTGCATTTACTCACTTATTGAAGTCTGGTTTTATAAGATACATAAACATTAATTTTTAAAGACTGCACTGTTAAAATAATTCAAGCACACTGAAGGCTAAGGAGTATCAACTCTATAGTACATATAAAATTTATCTCCAGTGTGGGGAGGGGAGGGTATAACTCAGTGGTAGAGTGAGTGCTTAGCATGCACGAGGTCCTGGGTTCAATCCCCAGTACCTCTGTTAAAGAAAAGAAAATTTAAATTAAATAAATAAATAAACCTAATTACCTATCCCCCCCGCCAAAAAAACAAAGAATTTATTTCCAGTGTGACTGAAAACTCATGTTGCTGACCTTCATGTTATTGTGGTTTCTGTGATTAAAATTTATCTTTCAGACCTTGTATTTTTTCTGTATATTATACCTACTGTGCCTATTGATTACTTCTTTTTTAGGCAATAACCACATGAAAGAAGAAAATTATGCTGCTGCAGTGGATTGTTACACACAGGCAATAGAACTGGATCCAAATAATGCAGTTTATTATTGTAACAGGTAAACTGGCACTATTGTGACAGATTTATAGTTCTTAAACATTTGCACTAATAGCTGTGAAGGAGAACTGTAAAATTTGTTTTTTATTTAGGAAATTTTGAAAGTTTGGAAAAGTAGAAAGAAGGAAAAAAATAAACCCATAAACTTACCAGTTAGAGGAAGCCACTGTTACTAATAACCTTTTTGGCATATTTTATTTGATGTAACTGTAATTTCAGATTAATCTTTATTCACTAGGCATATCATAAACATGTCCTTATTTTACTGAAATCCGTCTTAAACACTATTTAAATGGTGTAAATTAGTCTATTATCACCTCTTAATCTTTTTTGTCTTTCTAGCACCTATCATTACAGCTGGAAAGCAGTACTATTTTTAAATAAATGGATAGATGTATCTTAATTTGCTTAACCCTTGACCTACTGGTGGACATTGAGATTGCCTTTTTTTTTTCTAATATTATAAAGCTGCAATGAACTTCTTTGTTTCTAAAATGATTTTCTGGACTCAAGTTTTTCTAGACTTTGGATCTATCCTTGGAAATGCACTTAATTGGTCTAACAGTATAAATAATTTAAAGAATTGGTTGATGCTAATTTCAAAATTGTTCCAACTGCTTTGAAAATATTTTGAAAACTAGTTTCCTCCCAAGCATATATGAGTATATTTGTTTTTACCACATCTTATCAGTGCCAAGTACTTGAGTTATTATTTATTATTGTTAATTTAATATTAGTCTTATTTTGATAGTAATTTTTCTGATTTACATTTAATTACTATGAGGTTGGACATTTTTCAAATATTGGCCATTTGTGGTTTTTTTCTTTAGATTATCTGTTTGTACCTATCCCAGCCCTCAGCCTATTTGACCTCAGACTCATTTCTTTTCTTCCCTGTTGTGCCCCAGGGTCTGACTCCTATAGGCTGCATTTCCCAGGCTCCTTTGTCACCTGGGATTTTTCTCTGTATTCAGCCAAAGGAGGTGCTGGCAGGAGATTATAGGGCAGAAGGAAGGGAGAAGTTAGGTATTTCTTCCCCTCTTTTTACATCCGAGTATTAATTCAGCAGGGACTGCTTCTCCTCATCTCCAGCTCCCACCCCAGACACCTGCTGTGGTCCCAGCTTTTGCCAGGCAATGTGGGGTTTTGGGCTCTGCACTCTGTCCCGTCTTAGGGATGGTAATGGCTTCCTGCTCTTGCTAATCTCTGGACTGCTGCACAGCCCCCTGTTTGGCATCTCAGCTCTTCTATCAGCTATGTAATGAAGTCCCTGCGCTAAATTATTCTCTTTTTAAATATTAAAGTTCCAATAGAACTTTCTGCGGTGATTGACATGTTCTATATCGATATTGTCTGATACAGTAGCCGCTAACCACAGTGGCTGTTGTGCACTTGAAATGTGGCTCGTGGAATGGGGAAACTAAATTTTTAATGTTTAATTAATTTAAGGTCAATTTACATAGATTAATTTAAATTTGAATAGCCACATGTGGCTTGTGGCCACTGCATTGGACAGCAGAGCTCTATGTTAAAGATGGGATCTCTGTTCTCATCACAGAGCTTATTGTTTGACTTTTAATGTTTTCTTATGTAAAAGTTCTCAGTACATGTGTAGACAAATTTGTTTTCCTTTTCTTTTGAATTTTATTACAGGATTTTTAGGCTGAAAGCTCTCCCCATTTATAGACTTGGCAAATAACTTCTGTTTTCTTATTTTTCCTTTACATTTAAATTTTATCATCTTGTCTATTTTGGTCACTGGTGTGACTATTTTAATCAATCTGATGCTTTTTTATGACAGATTTATAAAGATTGTATTTTATTATATAGTAAGTTCTTAGATTTGAAAGAGATCTTTAAGTTAATTTGGTCCAATCTTTCATTTAGTTTTTTAAGGTATGTTCATATGCTTCTCCCCACCTTTTCTTTTGTGGTTATATCTGTTAGAAAAGTCCTCCTTATGTTGACATTGAATTTGTTTCCCTGTAGCTTCTGTAGCTTCTCTCAGTTGACTTTATTTTTATTCTTAAGAGCAATTACAGAGTAAGTATGATTCTTCTTTTTCATGACGAAACCTTACAGTTTGAAGTGTGCTACTTTGCTCATTTGAGTTCTTTTCTCTGCATCAAGTATTCACAGCTTCTCCAATTATACTTTACATAGTTCAGCTTTAAATCTTGCGCTTGTGCTCTACACTTGTTCCAGTTCACCTGTATCCATTATTGTGTAGCTCCCACAAGTTAGCATGGCGTATCTGGCCTTGGTCCGAGTAGAGCAGTCTTGTGGCGTGCTCATTTAACCTACCTCTAGATAACATCTACCTCTAGATTAGCGTTTATTTTTTTTATTGAAGTATAGTCAGTTTACATTGTTGTGTCAATTATAGCTTAGTGTTTTGTAGCATTATTTATTAAATTTATATTTTGCTTTCAGTTTATTAAAGCCTGCCCTTCTTTTTCACACACTCTGTCCATCCTGTCACTCAGTCATATATTCATTTGAAGGTTCTTGCCCAACACCTGCTGTGTGGCAGTGTTGTCACAGGAGGTAAAGTGGGTTGTCTGGACTCAAATGCAGGATCTTATATTTTATCCCTATAGAACTGTATCTTGTTACTGTCTTTTATTCATTTGTCCCTTAGTTGTTTGGAATAATTTGTAAAGTAATATATTTGCTTTTGCTCCTAGTTTCATGTCCTCCACAAACTTGAGAAGAGTACCATATGTTACATTGTGTCAGTGTTATGAAGTCGACAAAGGGAGCAGTCATGGGGAAATGGTGAAGAGCAGGGGTTCTGACCCAGGCTCTTTGGATTCTAATTTCTGACTCTTTCACTTAGATCTGTGTGACCTTGAGCAAATTATCCTAACATATCTTAGTTTCCCCCATTAGTAAAATGTGGATAATAGTACTTATCTCATAGGATTGTTGTAGAAATCAAATAGTTAATACATACTAAGTGCTAGGAAAGTGTCTAGTAAAGAGTGTACACAACAATAGCTATTATTATTGTTATTATTATTATTTATGCAATCTGGGTTTTTATTGCCTTAATCAGCATATGAAAAGAGATCCAAATTTATTGGGGTCCAAATATGTTGTCAGTTGTTTTTCTCTGAGTTACCAGTCTGGTGGTAACACTATTAAAATAGAAAGGAAATGATGTTAGCCTGATAGGACTTGTTCTAGATTAATCTACTGTCATTTTTCTTCTTTTCTTGATCTTGTAACACTTTTTAATGAAAATTTTCAAAGTAGAAGGCAGTTCACAGTGAATATGCATATACCCACACCAGGACTGTACCATTAACATTTTAGCATGTTTGCTGTATCACGTTTATTCATCTCTCTGTGCCTTTCTATTCATTATTCCATCTTATTTTTGATGCGTTTCAAGCTAAATTG